TGCTTGTTTTCTCTCGATTAATTGCTATTTTTACCTTAGACTGTTATAGGTTTTCTCTATTAAAAGTAATTTTGTACATCACAAAATGGTTGAAAATTTCGTGCCATTGCATAGCTCCCTTAATTTATCAATTGTTACAATTAACGCCAACACTGTTTATCTGTAATTCTGTTGGCGGTGACCAAACCTCGTTCTGGTGTTGTTCATCTCGAACGCCGGCATATTTCCTTCAATCAATCGGTGGTCTGTTCCACCAATCACAACCCTGCATTCAGGACACGTGCTTCGCTGCATGGCTTGTCCACACCCGCCAATCGTGTAGACATGTCCCTGGGGGCATTTGTACCAACGACCTTGAGACAGGTTCATCGCAGACACGATCTCTTTCTTTTCTTCGGGCGTTATTGGCGAGAGGAAGCGGTAGGCTTGCCTGCAAAGAAAAACAGGAATAATTGTCTTCTCAAGGTGTCTTGAAAGATCTGCACTGAAGTAGTTTGCTTTTGCAAACATCCGAGAAGCATGTCTTTTATCAGACAGGGCGTGACGGCCAGGCGTGAGAGATTCCGGAAGATCGATTCCATATTAAGTAGTGAGCATGAACGAGAGACCCTGAGACTGAGCTCGAGGTTGTATCTTTACAAAAGTACAGTAAGAAAAGCTAAATATTTGCATGCCATCCAAGCTGGGGGCAAGTTTCAGGGCCATATAAATTGGCCACCAGCAGTTTCGTGCTAATACTGCTGAGAGAGACAAATAGATAATGATCCCAAATAGATAATGAGCAAATGTTTCTGTGTCAGCCCATGAGGGCCAAGAGAAAATAAGAAAAAAGGCAACTTCATTCAATGTTTTATCTAATCACGCCTTGTTTTATTCACTGAAATTTCTTCTCGCAACTTTTCTGACCACGAAATCATGACAAAATTACCGTTAAATGCCTATTTTCTGCAGTCCTCCTAGATGAGCTGGAGAGCATGTTTTTTGAACGATACATAAAGCATATTACTAGTTAAAGGGGAGGTAATCGACTTGGAACGTTTATCTTGATTACTGAAGCAAAAGTGAAGTAGGCTAATTGNAGTACAGTAAGAAGAGCTAAAATATTTGCATGCCATCGTAGTTTGGGGACAGTTTCAGGCACATAGAAATTGGCCACCAACAGTGTCGTGCTAATACTGCTGAGAGAGACAAATAGATAATGATCCCAAATAGATAATGTGCAAATGTTTCTGCGAGGCTTATACGGGCCAAGAGAAGTTAATTAGAAAAAATGCAACTTCGTTCAATGTTTTCTCTAATCACGCCTTGTTTTATTCACTGAAATTTCTTCTCGCAACCTTTTTTGACCACGAAATAATGACGACCTTACCGTGAAACACCTATTTTCAGCAGTCCTCCTAGATGAGCTGGAGAGCATGTTTTTTGAACGATACATAAAGCATATTACTTGTTAAAGGGGAGGTAATCGACTTGGAACGTTTATCTTGATTACTGAAGCAAAAGTGAAGTAGGCTTATTGAAATTTATAACTTGTGTCCGGACCTTTCGCCATCATTTACTATCAACACGGAATTTCCCAAGGACTAGGTTAAACCACCTGATAGCACCCAACTCCTGCAGCATCCGGTCCAGTCTCTCCTCTTCCACTGGTCTACCGCTGGATAGTTCATTTTGGACAACCGACATCATATCGAGGTACTTCGTCTTTAGATTTAGGCCCACGTTCTTTACGTCATGACGCAACAAACACAGCTCGAGTTGGAGGTTTTGTCGGCTGAATTCTACGTTGATGTCTCGAAGTTCTCTCTCTGTAACTCCTTGGGACATAAAACGTTTTCTCAGATGCTCCAATTCCCTCTGTACAGAAAGACCTACGAAAATGCCAGGTTAAAACTAACTATTAGTGTATGGCGAAGTCATGATATCCAAGGCTGAATATGTGTCAGTCATGAAATTCTAAGTATGAATTTACTAACTTGTCATACCTCAAGCTTGCCATATAATTGTTGATGAGAACTATGTTCTACGCTAATGTCATAATGTCTTAAAGGAAAGCTGGGTGCGATTAACCGACCTTGATAATCAGTTCACAGGGACCGACATCCTGTTCTTTAGAAACAAGAATCGAGATTGAGCTCTGGGCGAAATTATAGCGTGAGCCAGAAAATATTCCCAGCGGTTACTCTCGACACATGTGTAGAGACCATTATTGAAGCTCAACGCATGTGTGCAATCAAACCGGAACCAGTATGTTTTTCTTCTGGCTTTCGACTTTTTGGGGAACGGAGCACGTGTTGCGCACGCGTCAATCTGAAGTGATTTTGAACTGGTTCAGAGCACGTGAACAGCATTTATGACGCATGCGTCTCTCTACTAGGATATAAATTCTTTCAACTAAGGCTTTATACTTATACTTTATACTTTCAGTGCAGATTTACCATTGATGACGGGAGAAAGTAATGTATTGCTTTGGTGGATTTTACTCAAGTACGTACGTACCTTCCACGCGAATATAGGCGCTCGGTTTTCCGCGGGGCTCAAGAAGGTGCCGATTCAACTTCTGGTTCATAACACAAAACCTCTCCATCAACGTCACTTGATTTTCAGTCACTGACGCGACTGTTGCTTTGGTCATTCGCTCTACACTTCGCTCTAACCTCCTCCACTCTGTCATTTCATTCTCGCCATTAAAAATCCTCTCTAGGTCTGCCAGACGAGTTTGCAATCTTTTCCTTATTTCATCCATTTCGCGTGGATGACCATTTGCGCGCACCTTCACTTTCTCTATGTCTTGTAGCCGCTGTTTGATGACATTGCCGTATCGCAGACTCGTTCGGATGGGAGTGGAACAGCGAGGACAGGACTTGAGTTGAATCACCTGATTCTCATCCTCCGACATGTCCATGTATCTGCCAAAGAAAAGCACTACATCATAGTAAAACCTTCCAGTCGAAACTGCGCTGTTAGTTAGGTTCCATTTACGAGGATTTACTCGGAGCGCCTGGAACCGAATCGAGTATCCTCACCTACGAATCAAAATTCTGCAAATATTACTGACTGAACATTTCTCATAAGATTTTTTGACATTATCAAAACGTTCCGAAAACGACAATAGTTGTAACATTCTGGATTTACTAACAGGGGTAATGTTACTACAGCTGCAGGACAATGGCGATGAGAAACGATCAAGTTTACTGTTCTTACAATAAAATTTTTACCTGTCCAGACCTGCCACTGCAAAAATGTGTTTGCAGTCTGGAAGTTGAACGAAAAGCGTATCGTCCTCATCTTCCTCGCCAAAGAAGATCTCTGTAATTGGATAATCATCATTCTTTTCGCAAAGAGCGCAGATGCACAGTTCTCCACACAAACCGCGACAAATATGGCGGCCTCTTCCACAAACCAAGGTTTGATTGCACGGTTCGTTACATCTTGGCCTGTCGCATAACTCTCCACACAGCCTCGAACACTTGTAATGACGACATTCCCACATGCACGTCTCGCGACACGGCACGCATGGCTCGCCACACGTTTTTTTACAATCGCTATGGTGGCACCGGTTTTCGCATTTCCTGGAACATGGTGAACAGGCCTTAATGCAGGAGTCTGTACATTCATGAGAACAAACCAATAGGCGACCACACTTGGACCTGCATCGTTTGTGAATTCGTCCCATTCGACACTCGCCGCATGTTCCGGAACACTGGTGACCACACTCTAAATCAGCCGAGCACCGGACTGGGCAATCCACTGGGGAGGTAGAGCAGGCGACCCTCACATCGTGACAACATGGCCAGTCAGTTTTCTTCACAAGCGTTTGGCAATTTTGCGTGCAGGGTTCTCCACAGCGCTTTTGACACCGATGGCCACACTTTCGAAGCACCTTCTCACACTGTGCCTTACAGTGAACTCTGTTTAAGTCACCGCCGCATCTCACTGTGTTGGTGTGTCCACATAATGGTAGCGCTTTCTGCACCATAACTTGGCAATTCGTTTCGCACTCTTGGAAACAAAGCTTGACACATGGGTGAGAACAGCCTTTGATGTTTCTGAGGCAAGGTTCCACACATTTGTTGTTCTTGTGCTCAACGTCATAAGGATGGCATCGCTGTTTACAAGAGTGACCGCACTCCAGGCGCACCTTACATAGACGCTCACATCCCCCGTTAGGGACTCTGGCCTTGAAATCTTTGGCTGATTTCACCGACACTTCTGCACCATGAATCTGGCAGACAAGTCGCAAACTCTTTCCAATGCTCTCACTCGCTTTTAAATCCGCCACAATCTTACCCCAGATGTCACTGTGTCTGGAGAGAAGAGCAAAGTTTCCAATGCAGTAGAAACCCTTCTTGGCCCGAGAGAGCGCCACACATGCGCGGTTTACAACCTTGATGAAGCCAACTTTCTCGGTTTTGTTGCTGCGCACGAGAGAAAGAAGAATGATGTCGTTTTCCTCACCTTGAAAGTTGTCAACTGTCGTCAATCGGACACTTCTCACTGCTTGATCCTCTTCCTCTCGGAGGAATTCTCTAATGGCAAACATCTGACCCATGTAGGTTGTCAGAAGTGTTATTTGATGGGCTCTGTAGCCTTGCTGTAGTAAATAACGACACAGCGCCACTAGATACCTAGCCTCGTGCTCATTAACATGACTGTGCGTCTGATCGCAAGACATCTCTAAATAGTTGTGGGCGATAAAGAACATGTTCTTCTTCATTCCTTTGATGTCTTCATATTTCTCCACTGACTCATGGTTTTCCAGATCTTCGTAGATGTGCTTCATCAAGGCAGCGATCTCAGGTCTCATGCGATGCTGAACGGACAGCCTCTCACACTGAATTCCAGCTTTCACCATTCTCTCGAATAACGACACGTCCAGTTTGTACTTTTTGGCTAATTCATAGACTGCAGGGGTTGGTCGCAGTTGCTGGTGATCTCCAATTAGAATCAAGTGCTCGCATCCCTGTGTCAATGACGTAATAATATGACCCTCCAGTACTTCAGCAGCTTCTTCAACCAGGACGATTTTGGGGCGAATCCGCTGGAGAATTCGGCGGTGCTTACCGGCGCCTGTAGTTGTCATGCCAATGACACGTGCTTTCTGAAGAACAAACAAGTTCTCCTCTTGAGTTAACTCACTCGTGCGAGCCGACAACCTTTCGTACTCAGGTTGGTTCGTCTGTACCTGCTGCAAATAGTGTTTCTCGGCTCTTTCCATCCACAGTCTGTAAATATTCCAGCGATGCTGCTGCGATAGACGCTGAGAAAGGAATGCACACTTTTCTTCGTCTTCAGACATGGTTTCCGTACCTTGAAGATTTTTGCGTAGCTCGGTGGGCTTTCTGGTGTCTTCGGTTTCACAAATGACCACTTCTGAAGGCTTGATGGCATTGCTTGTTTCGTCTTCTTCGACATCGTCCTCGTTTGCGAAGCTCCGAAAGGATACCTGCATCTGGAAATCGTCCTTGTGGGGACCATAATCATCTCGGTCTCTGAAATCTTTAGCAGCCACACGTCTTTCTACGCCAAGCCATTCGCAGAACAGATCAGAAGCGCTTCTTTTGTCGTGTCTCTCAAATTCTTTCTCAAACCATTTAGCGTGACGCTCGGACATAAACTGCTTCAGTACGTGGTAAGACATGATTCCTCTTCTCGAATACTTCAGCACTTTTATGGACAGCTCCAGCTGTCCATTTTCTCTAATCTCTCTCATTTTCTTTCGAGCTTTTGTCCTCGCTCTAGCTATCCTCCCTGGGATTTCTCTACTTTCACGAGCCTGTTCTCGAAGAAATCTGAGCATACAGGGCTCCAGCTTCTCACTCTTAGAACGTCCACCGACGCGAACAATCCCTGTCAACAAAATGGATTTTGTTAACTTTTCAAAAAATTGAAACAGTCAGTTCAAGGTTAAACTGCACGATACAAAGTTTTTTTTTTACTCTTTTATCCATCAAAGGTAGTTCCTTGTTGAAATGAACTCGACCATATCAGCGAATTGTTGGAGCCACCTGACAATGCTAAGGAATAACCCATAATCGGACTAGAATCCCATCCGTGGGAGGTGTGATTTGTAGAAGAAAACTCCACAAATAACAAAAACCCGTCAAGAAGTCACGATGAATAACAATGGTGAGGTTGGAAATGGTTTACAAGTTGGATAAATTTAATCTCATAATGTCCTTAAGGTTACTCCAAGCCTTCGCGGGGCTACGGTTGTCAAGTTTTCTTTTTTTTCAACAAGAGTCAAATGCAAGAGTGCCTCCTTGTAATCACGCTTCGGCGATTACTCCTCAGTTTCTTTCTGTTTTGTTGCATCAACGATCGCATTTGATACCCGATTAATTCGCCGGAATTACAATCGGTCGTTTTGGCTTTTACGGCTTCTGCTGCCTTAGGAAAGCAATCGGCAAAATATATAATATTATCGAATTCTACCTTTCATAACCTTTCTTTTGCTATAGTTCGTGGGGGTTTCCTTGAAAACAGTGCGCGTACGAATTATTTTGTTGGAGGACAGCCGCGGAGGTTTGGAGTAACCTTCAACGTTTCCAAAATCTTGTCCAAGAAGCAATTCATCTACTAAAAAAGTGTATTTTCATTTTTAGCAAGCACAAATTCTCACCTGTCATCGGTAACAGCCCTTCCAGAAACTGATCTAAGGCGTGGTTCGTGTACGACACCATCAAGATTGGTGACCGGTCTTCCTCGTCCTCCCAGAGCGAGGCTGTGTCCAAAAGAACACGCGCAATCTTTAAACCCACATAAGTCTTCCCAGTCCCTGGCGGTCCTTGAATGATGGCAAACCTGTTGGTCAGCGCTAACTGGAACGCTCGCAGCTGTGAGTCGTTGAAACCCAGGCTGTCTCGGTAGCGTCGCAAGTCGTAGGCATTTAGAAGAATTCCGCCATCGGTGGATAGGCTACCCTCTCTGTAGGAATCCATTCTTTCGTCCTCCGACGGCAACATCAAATCATCATTGCTGCCATTCACATCATCATTTGCTATACCACTCATGTCGTAAAAGCCTTGTGTTTTACGCTCATGATCTGGAGGATCAACATCCTGTTTGCACTCTACAATGTGCTCTTGGAAAGGCAGGCTATCAGGTTTGATTTCTTTTAACGTTTCCAAAACGTATCTGTACGCTTCAAAGAAGGCTTGAGACTCTACCATGTCAAATTTCGTCTTGTCCTCGATAAAACGATTCAATTTATCGAGCTCTACGCCTTCAAATCGAACATCAAGCTCGCCGGAGCAAAGTTCTTTGGGATCTCGACTCTCGACTGTCGCAAACAGCGGAGTGTAGAAGTCGTCAGCAGAAAGGCAGAGAAGGGACCCAAACTTCAAACGCTTGCACTTCTCCCATGGGATGTTCCTCACACTGTGGTGAAACGCGTCGAACCGGATTCTGTAAACCATTCCCTTTGCACTACATACGGGATACAGCACTGTGACGTCACGGTAGAACTGCACGTCTTTTGTTTCCTTGCTGTCGTGGGTACCACTACTTCCCAGGCCACCGTAGTCCTTTCGAAGCTGATGGATTCCCTCGCGCAGAGGCAAAATGAAGTCTGCTCTGACAAGCCGAAACTGTACGTCTAAGTAGTGTTCCAGGTCCCTGTAACGACGTCTAACAACATTGACGCGAAGGAAGGGCTGGTAGGTCACGCTAAGGTCTGCAGCTTGTGGAAAAACGCTAAGTTCTCTAAAACTGCAAGGGGGCTCATCTTCGGTTTCTTCTTCCTTTCTCCACACAGAATCGAATTCTTCATCGGTAACTTTTTTATGCAATTCTTTGACTTGACGGACTCTGTTTTCCAACGTAGCTGTGTTCTGTAAAAGCCTTCTAGCTTTCAGTTCCGCGACGGTATGTTCGAGTTGAAATACAGGAATGGAGTGCACAATTTCGCGTCCAAATCTTTGCAAGAATTCAAGAAAGACCTTCGCCAAACGCAAGATTGTATCAGAGGGTTGGAACTCTTCTCGGCTTGATCCTACATACGATAACATTCGACTGATGAAACTCGACACGTGTACAGTCAGAAACTTCGTTTCAATTACCAGACGTAGAATGTCTTCGGCGTGATGTCGTACCCCGTTTGGTAAACAACAAAGATGAATAGCCCGAATAATCAGCTGCATCAGATCACGTCTTATCTCGCTTGATTTCAGCAGTGCTTCGAATCTTTCACGCTTGATAGCGAGTTCCAAGATTCCATCTTCAGGAGCCTTTGAATGACAAATTTCCTCCAAGGCCTTGTACCCAAGAGGTGATGGGTCTTCTTCTCCTTGAGTTCCCCCCACCCAACCTGCCTCTACTCTCCCATCTGTTGTCCGTCGTCGTTTTGGAGAGTGTCCCCGTGAATCACGTGGCAAATCAGCTCCCTCACTTCTTCGTCTTCTTTCTTCAGGCTCTCTTCTTCTCTTGGAATCAGTAACTTCACTGTAACATCTCTTGCGCGATGACCGCATTTTTATTTTCAATTTTCAATCACGTGGTCCACGTTATCTAGGAGCAGAACTTGTTTGGCTGGAGAAAGCGATTTCATCGTCGTGAAAGACCCTGCTGAAGGAAGAATTTTTAAGTTGAACACATGAGCAATTTGGCTTTCCTGAAAAGAGAAAAGAGCAAGAGAAAACGTGATAAATGTGTAACGCAGGAACTATACAGCTTTGACGACCAACAGCGTACAAAGAAAGTCGTCTATTACAGTTGGGACGCTACTGAATTTTAAGGGAGACTAGAGGATGGCAAATTAGTATTTTTGAACTTTTTTATTGCGAAGATGAAATTATGCGAGAAAGACCTTTGGGATGGCACATATTTTCCCAACTTGGCTATTCAAGAAACACTCGAGAATCTTATTTGTTTGCACCCAGTGTCTTAATTTATGCTATTTTAAATACAAAGCATATGTCTGTTTTCACAACAGACTGTGCTCTATACATTTAAATTGAGCTTGGGAGCGAGGTCTAGAGAACACAAACTAAAGAAATTGAATGAGCATGTTTATTCATTTCTCTTGTTTTTGCCTCTAGACGTTCAAGCTGAATTTTAATATATCGAAAGCCTTTTATTAGACACTATATATGAATGAAAAGAAACAGGACCTGAACAATCGTTGATATCGATGATCGAAATATCAGTCGATCAATCAATTGCTGATGGGCCCACCAATAGGAAAGTAGCAACTTCGATCACCAAACAACTATTCGAGCGGGTAGGTAATTATTAAATAAGAAATTTGTCTACCTTTCTTGGAAAGCAAAGGGAGGCGAAATTGGGAAAGACCTCTAACTTCCCCTCAACAGCTTGAAAAGTATGAAAACTACGGTTTTCACGCCTCAAACAGCAGCTGCAAATTACCCCTGCCGGCTGACGAGATTCGTGAAGAATTGAAATCGACGGTCTTATTAAGGCATGCAAACTATGACAACGACCTTCTAAAATACTTCGAAGAAGGTCCATCTCCTGACGGCAATGACAATGTCATCCCAGTACCAAATACACTTTCTTTCTGTCCTCTAATGTATGGACACCGTTCACTAAGCAATGGAGCAAAACGTTATGGTGATTCGGTGAGATTACCTCTTACCATCACATCCCAGACCACCTCGTTACACCAATGAGAACAACATCTGTCACAAAATACATCCCTCAGCGCGTGACGTTAGAAAGATGTTTATTAATAACTGGATTACGATAAAAAACCAGCCGTTGCTTAGCACCATCTAAACAGAACCTCCGAGCGTATCACACAAGAGAGAGAAATCTCTTAAAAGATGCACTTGTTAGAGCGAAAAGTATCGCAATCACGATTCACAAGGCGAGTCCGCATCGATGGCAATCGATAGCATGTTCGCGACCACGTTTGAGTGATTATCGACTGGCTATCGATCGATCAATGCCACTCAATGTCAATTAACTAACCGGAAATCGATTGGCATCGATTGATTTTCCAATCATCGATTTCATCGACGTCCTGAAAGAAAGGACCCTTGGAATGGGGTTGAAATAAACAACCAACCTATCACGTGCAAAGGATTAGTCTAGTCGCTCTATAACACCAGCCATGAAGGAGTATAAGCCAAAACAACGACAAAGCCTCACTTACCCCTCAGTTTAGCTGGTCTCTTGAAGTCAGACGATCTCGTAGCTGAAGATGTAAAGATAGCGTAAATTTATTATCTTGGTTTAAGTCATTTCACGCCGTTGTTTTATATAGGGCGATATTAATGCACCAATATGTTATACGTTGCCTTTTCTCTTCTCTTGTCTCACCCGCGAACCCTACCGTGAAAAATCGTAAACTATAAATTTTCTCTGTATTTTTTAAAGTCTACGATTTTTAACCGTAGGGTTCGCCGGTAAGAAGAGAGAACCTGTCGGATAAAAGCATTGGAGCTTTTGTTATCGTTTGGCTTCAACTCCAACCATATATAAAAATCATGGTCAAAGTTAAAGCCAAGCGACAACAAAAATCCAAATCGTAATAAATCATTCTCGATGAAAGCAGGTACTTTCGTTCTATTCGGATTAATGCTGCTATTGATGTGTACGTACTACATCTACTTGCATCACTGTGCAGTTTACATTTTAGCCAGCGGCGTAAGTTTGGCCATTTCGGTGTGTGGAACGTATCGCTACACCCATCTTTGTCTTCTCAAAGAACACAATGTGCAACACATTTTCATATTAAGACCTGAACTAGGCTTAAGTTAATGTTCATTCCTACGTTCGAGATAGAACATTAAAATTATTTCCTTCTTTGGCATGTTGCCGCCCCCGGATGAGCTATTAATAACAACAAGTAAAGCTCCAGTCGATGATGGGGTGTTTACATCCCAGCGGAAATAAAACGAACTCAATGAGATCGTGTTAGCGTTGAAACCCTAACACTTCGGCAAACGTGTTACAAAGCAAGTTAATTTACGGTTGCATTTGCTACAAGACTCGAATTAACGTGCAGTCAACACTTAGAGATCTAACCAAGCAAGAACGTTAAGTGTTGAGCGGGATCGGATTTCGATGCACCTTTGCACATATAAAGGCAATCCCCATGAAATATTTCATTTTCCGTCACTCGATCGACCCAGCCTTTTTGAAAAAGTTAAAAATGTCGTTTTTGATTCTTTACCCGCTTCCATTTTGTCAATAGTTCCTTTGTCCACTTGTATTTATTGCTGATAAATTCGAACTAGAATTGAAATATTAGCTCATCGACAGAAGTACTTTTACGAGACGGTGATCGATGGACTAAGCATCAGCTTTCGTGCGCACAAAGTTTGCAAGCAACAGAACCAAACCTTCCTACAAGTTAAATCATCAGCTTCTTCCTACCTGTTCGTCTAGGATAGTTCACCTAACGTTAAAGAAATGGGATGAGGTGAAAAACAACAACAACAATCTCGTATTTGAGTTTTGCGTATTTTCCTGCTTTCCGAGAAGCTTCCAAAAGGATTCTGAGAAAAACAACTTCTTAGTGACTGGCTGCTGTAACGAGCCAATCACAGAAGCTGAATTCAATGGCGTGACCCAGAGTAACGCAATTAGCAAGCGGAGCTCTTTTGAAGCGGCCATAAAAGTAATAGGTTTTCTGATTTACAAATTTACTTTCGAATAGATGGGAACTTAAAGGTAGTAAGGTAGGTAAAGTCTGCATACGAGCCAAGTGGCCCATCAGGCCGGAGCTTACACCGGTTTCAGTAACATGAAGGGACTAGGAGTATTTCTACTCCCCCCTGGATTGGATGCTAGTCCATCGCAGGGTTACCCCCAGCATTAAATTCGCCGGTACCCATTTATACACCTGGGTATGTGGAGAGAGGCACTGTGGGAATTAAGTGTCTTGCCCAAGAACACAATACAAAGTCTCCGGCCTGGGGCCTGTTTCACGAAAACTCCCGTAAATACCGGGCCCGATAACTTACCGGGCCGGTTAACGGGAAACTTTACCGGTGCCGAAATAGCGTTTCTCGAAGCACCCGTAAATTTTCCCGGTACTTACCGGGCTCGATAAAATAGCGGGTTGTTACCAATCTCTAGCGCGCGCTTCACGCTCGCTCGCGAGAGATGGAGAAACACTTAGGACTAGTACACATTCGATTCTGATCGATTCTGTTGCTGCGACTGTGATGCTTTTTGAAGAACACAGCGAAGTTTAACTTCGAAGTTATCGTTGTGTCAAATGAGAGCAACTGAGAGAGATCGTCATTT